CCATCCCTCTCTCTCATCCCTCTCTCCCATCCCTCCCTCCCATCCCTTATTCCCATCCCTCCCTCCCATCCCTTATTCCCATCCCTCTCTCTCATCCCTCCCTCCCGTTCCCTCTCTCCCATCCCTCTCTCCCATCCCTCTCTTTCATCCCTCTCTCCCATCCCTCTCTCCCTTTTAACGCGTCTCAAAAGTCCGAAACTCCACCTCACTGCCTCTGCCATCTCCTCTCACTCATTCCCCCATCCCATCCCATGTGCAGGCGTCATCTGCATCCCCGCCCTCCTGCTCTGGACATTCCTCTCTAGGGAAATTCAGCGGGCACTTGAGTTTCCAGCACTCCTGCAACCCAATTTCCTGGTGGGTTGGTGGTGGCTGGTGCTTGGTGGGAAGGGGGAAAGGGCTCTGTGTATGCGTCTGCATCCCCGTGCTGCTTCTCTGGACATTCTTTGTAGGGGAGATTCAGCAGGCCCTTGAGTGGAACTCAAGTACGGCAACCATTTCCTGGTGCGTTGGTGCTTGGTGTGCGTGTGAGTATGTGGGGTGGGAAGGAATTGGTTGTGCGTGAGAATCTGCATCCCCGTGCTGCTTCTCTGGACGTTATTTTCAGGGGAGATTCAACAGGCTCTTGAGTTCTGGCACCGCTGCAACCCAATTTTGCGGTGGGTTGATGGGTGACTTTTTGTGGTGGTGCAAGGTAGACATGAGCATCGGGTGAACACCAAACATGTTCGCACGAGCCAGCACAGACATGTGAAGGGTTCGATGTTCGTGCGTGATAGGGGGGCGAACATGTTCAAGGTTCGCAAACATCTGCAATGTTTCAGGGCGAAGGCGAACATGTTCGGTTCGTAATCGTGAAGGGGGTTTTTCCTAAGTCACCCTAGGCATTCCTAAACTGGAGAGTTTAGTGAAGAAAAAAACAAAAAAAAAACTCAAAATCGTGGGAGAATGAGGGGAAATAGAATTGGTGTATTTGTGTTTGAGAGTTCTCGAAAGCGACTCAGATTTAGCCAGTTTTAAGTTCCCTCCATTTTTGGTGCTGGTGCATGGTGCACGTGTGAGGGGCGGTGTTAGTGTTGTGCGCGGGGAAAGGGTCAAGTTATGAGTCGACTCAAAACACGACTGATTTCACGAGGGGCGGTGTTTGTGTGTGGGGAAAGGGGGAGGGGAGAGACATTACAGCAACTTGCTATGCCGCCATGCTAAGTCAAGGCACTCGTGCCACTCAGCAAGGTGAGTCAGGTCAAGTATCTTTTCCACCATGCATGCTGTGCTATGCCATGCCATGCCATGTCATGTCATGGCATGTCATACCACGCGATGGCATTCCGTGCCATGCCATGTGATTCTGTGTCATGCCATTTCATGCTACGCTTCTGTTCCAACCAACCAACCAACCAACCGTTCCGGGATCTTCCCCCCTCCCTTCTCCCCCTCTTCTGCTCGCACCCTTCAGGCGGTGCTGTCGATATCATGCCTCATGCCCGTCACCCTCACCCACACCATCTTTGGCTCAGCACCTCTTCATACGTGCGTGCCCTCTCCTACCCCCTTTGCCCCCATGCCCCCATCCACGTCCCCTCCCATCCTTCAGGTGGTGCTCATGACATTATGCCTCATGCCCGTCGCCCTCACCCACACCCTCTTTCTCAACTCCTCTCTCAACTCGTCTAACCTAATGTCTGTGCAATCCATGCCATCTCTCCCGCCCTCCCAGCAGTGCTGTTGATGCCAACCCTCATGCCCCCCGCCCTCATGGGCGCAGCAGTGCTTTATTTGTGCTCTCTCCAACTCCCCGCCGCCCTCTCTCTTCCCCTCCTGTTCACCTGGCCGTGCTGTCAGTGTCATGCGCCATGGCCTTGGCACTGAACTACACCATCGTGTCTGCAGCAGCATGTGATACTGACAGATCGGGTGTGCTCCCCCCCCCAGTCCCCACCACCCACTCATCAGGCAGTGCTGGCGATGGCATGCCTCACGGCGTCCGCCCTCATCTGCACCATCGTCCTCAGCAGCGCCTCTCTCCTCCGCCAACCTAATTTCCATGCACTCCATGCCGTCCCCCTCGCCCATCAGCCTGTGCTGGTGCTTTTTACATCGATTCAAGGAATCGTCTCAACTGCACCATCTTCCTCATCGCCTCTCTGCGCTTCTAACCTATTTTCGTGCAATCCACACCATCTCTCCCGCTCATCAGGCTGTGCTGTCGATGTCATGCCTAATGGCCTTTGCTCTCAACTACACCATCTTCCTCAACACTTCTATCAACTCTGCCCTCACCCAAACCATGTGTGGCAACATCAAGGTGTGGTGGTAACATCAAGGTGTGGTGGCAACATCAAGGTGTGGTGGTAACATCAAGGCATGGTGGTAACATCAAGGTGTGGTGGTAACATCAAGGCGTGGTGGTAACATCAAGGTGTGGTGGTAACATCAAGGCGTGGTGGTAACATCAAGGTTTGGTGGTAATATCAAGGTGTGGTGGTAACATCAAGGTGTGGTGGTAACATCAAGGTGTGGTGGCAACATCAAGGTGTGGTGGCAACATCAAGGTGTGGGCAAAGTAACATCAAGGTGTGGGTGTGTGCGTGCGTGCGTGCGTGCGTGCGTGGGTGCGTGTGTGGTAACACTACACTGTGCATTTAGGTGTGCACAGCACACCCACCCCACCATCATCTTTGTCAATACCACTCTCAACTCTGCTCTCTGCTCTGTGCCTACTAATCTCATTTCCTGGACTAATCTCATCTCCTACCGTAATCTAATCCAGAATCCACATCCCTCTCTTGGCTGGTATTTGCAGGATTTAGGAACGGTTGGAATCGGTTGGGCACTTTTTGGAGGCTTGCCGTTTGACCTGGTAAGAGTGGCAAGGGGAAGAGTGGGGAAGGGTATGAAGGGTGGGGATTTTGGTGGGGTATTTGGGGGATAATATTGGATAATGGTGTGGGAGGGCTTTTGTATGGAAATGGGGTTTTAGTTTAGGGTATGCTATCTGGGTTGCTGTCTGATGTTTCTGTTCTCACAAGATTTTTCTTATTGTTGGTATTGATTCTGCAGGGCAATATTATTGGGCAAGTTATGGGGTTTATGGGTTCGGGTCTATATGCGTACTGCAAGATTAAAGGTATTTAGAAGTCAAGTTATATCTCGTGTTGTGAGCATCTAAATGTTAGTAGATAATGGAAACTCGTTACCTTGATTGGCGAACTATCGTGTTACGCTAAGCACCCTACCGTGTGTTGGGCTGAGAAAAGGCCCTTCGCATCTTTTCAAGGCTAAGACCCTGAGTAGGAATGTTGTAATTGCGGGAGCGTTTAATAAAGTATTGAACCACCTTGCGCTGGTGTGTGAGGGCAAGATAGATTGATTATAGCAAGGTAATACAAGCCTTTTATAAGATTACAAGGAATATGAAAGGATGCAACTAACTGTTTTACTGTTGCTGTTGCTGTTTGATACAGCGACGACTCGGGCAACTGCTCAATACCGAGTCAGTTGTTTGTCCTTGCTGTCGCGCTGCCTTCTGGCGAGTCAAAGGTCGCTGACCTTTGACCTTCGCGTAACCTCCAGCTGTAACGTTCTGTCAACTTCTCGGTTGACTCGCCGTTGCTTCGTTGTAACTCGCTTCGTTTACAGTTCGATGTTCCGACACATCAGAAGCGTTAAATTACTTGTTTCCAACACTCCCCTTCGCTTCTGGAGTGTCGCTGCTGGTGACGTGGCCTTGTCCAGTCAGCAGCATGAAGTATTCAAACTTCTGGTCAAGTAATCTGCTGCCATCTCGGATGTGGGGCAGTAGGATAGCTCGAGTCTCCCCTTCTCGATCTCGTCCTTCACGAAGAAATATCGTAGGGCGATGTGCTTTGTTCGGTTCGCGAATCCGTTCTTGTTCGCTATGCGGATTGCTGATTGGTTGTCGCAGAACAGGGAGAAGCTGGGTAACTGAGCCAGTTTCGCTTCTTCCAGCAATTCGTGATGATACAGTCCTTCCTTGGTGGCTGAGCAGAGTGCGATATATTCTGCTTCGGCTGAGGAGAGAGCAATTAGCTCTTGCTTGCTCGACTGCCATGAGATAGGCCCGATAGGTTCGAGTCGGTAGATGTAGCCGGTGCGCGATCGTCTGTTGTCAGAATTGCCGGCATGGTCGGCGTCTACATAGCCGATTAGTTTAGGTATCGAGGTTCCACTTTTATGGTAGGTTAGACCGATCGTCAGGGTGCTGATGAGGTAGTGGAGAGCGCGATCGAGCTCGGCCATGTGATTTGCTTCAGGCTTCTTGAGGTAGGTGGCGAGTTGGCTCGCCGAGTACGATAGGTCCGGTCGGCAGGTAACGGCAGCGAAGAGCAAGCATTCCAACTTTCGTTGGTAGTCGCGTATGCCGGCGGGTTTGAGTAGAGCGGACGCTTCCTTGTGATTTCCGTCGGTGTGGCGATAGGGTGTGGTGATGGTGGCTGGGTTTAGTCCGAAGCGTTTGGCGATGGTGTCGGCGTATTTTGCGGCGCTGAGGTAGATGGCGTTTTCTCCGTCTTGTACGTTGAGTCCTAGCTACTGTGTGACGGTGGACGAGACGGTGAACGTGAGGTCCCGCTGCAGCTCCCCTTCGAACCAAGTTGTGATGCCGTCGGTTGAGCTAATGTAGAGCAGATCGTCTATGTAGACGATAAGTAGGATGTAGTCAGTGCCTTTCGTGAGTCGGTACATGCCTTGGTCGTGCGGTAGTTGGAGGAATCCGATGCGGATTAGTCGAGCGTGTAGGTATTGCTGCCATAGTCTCGGAGCTTACTTAATGCCGTAAAAGGATTTTAGCAGCTGACAGACTTGGTTAGGATCTGCGTTGGAGCCGTGTGGTTGTTCGACGAAGATCTCAGCATCGACGGGGGTGTAGAGAAAGGCGTTGGCGACATCGATTTGGCGGAGCTTCTTCCACTTCATGGCCGCTATCGCGAGGAGAATCCGTAGTGAAGTGTGTCGGCTGACTGGCGCGAAAGTTTCGGTGAAGTCTCGTCCGTGTTCTTGGTCGAAGCCGCGCACGACCCATCGTGCTTTGAACTTGTCGATGGTTCCGTCAGCCTTTGTCTTCGCGCGGAAGACCCACTTCCCGGTGAGTATTGTCTTGTTGCGTGCCACTCCGATTGGTACGACCTTCCAGGTGTTGCGTTCTTCCAGCGCCTTCAATTCCCTATCCATGGCTTCGCGCCATTTTTCCTTGTGCTCCCCCCCCAGAGCCTGCTGAATTGTGGCAAGCTCCTTAGGTGGTGTTGCCCCGTGGACGGCGGTGACGAGTCCCAGTATCTGCAGTCCACTCTGTGAGAGTCGGGGGAGATTTGGGTCCTCGGGATAAACTGCTTCGTCTCCCGCTTCTGGATCAGGTAAGAAATTGGGTCCTATGCGTTCGGAGATGTTGGTGTTGACTGGTTGAGGTGTAACGTAACCGTTGTCGGCGAGGTCGTAGTAGACTTCGGCGTTGATGCTTTCGCGAGGGTTGTCGTCGTCCATCGGGATGTCCACTGAGCACTAGGGTAGAGGTCCGGCTTCCTCCGATGCTCCGTCCACGTTCTGCTTGTCCCAGTCAGCTTTGTTTGCTGCCGAAGCGAAGGCTCGGTCACCATGAAATCCGCCTGTGGGGTCTCGGTACGTTGGGAGGGTGAGCCGTTCGTAGAAAATCACGTCACGTGCTGCTACTGTTTCCTTCGAGTGGACGTAAAAAATCTTCCATGCGTTGTAATGTCTTTCGATGCCCAAGTGTACCCCCCACTGTGCGCGTTGAGAGAATCGGCCGGCTCATGCAGTTGGGGGTCGGAACTGTACCATACAGCCGAAAATTCGCAACATTTTTGTGCTGCCCAGTTTTCCTGTCCACAACAGATGCGGTGATGCGTTGTTCGGGAGCGATGATGACGAAAGCAAGTTGTGCAGCATCACAGCATGGTCCATTGCTTCGGGCCACTGGTGGTTGGGTAGTCGCATGCCACGTAGCAGCTTGCGCATGGTGTTTTGGAGAGTCTTGTTAATCCTTTCTGCTACACCTTGCTGTTGGTGGGCGTAGGGAAGGGAGATGAGCCGCTTGATGCCTCGTTCTGCCAGGTACTGCTTGAGCCTTTGTGACTGATATTCCCCTCCCCCGTCTGACTGGAAGCTTTTCAGCTTCGCTCCTGATTCCCATTTTGCTGCTGGAAGCCAGGCGACGAAAGCTTCGAAGGCCATGTCCCGGTTCGGGAGGTTGAAGTGCCAGACGTATCATGTGGTGGCGTTGATGAAGGTGATGGTGTAATTGTAGGCTCCTTGTCCGGGTTCGCGATTGTACAGTATGTCGCTATACACCTTTTCCAGTGGTGCGTATGCTGGAGCGCTCGGGTTGTGGTGAGAGACGAACGGCTGATGCGGTAAGTCGGCTTCAGGGCAGGTAAAGCACGTTCCGTGGACTCGTTGAAGTTCTCTGCCGTCGTGTAGAAGTCGTGAGTCCTTGTCAAGTACTCTAGCTCTTATTGTATTGTTTAACGTTGTGTTGCTCGGGTGTCCCATCCTTGCATGCCAGATGTCTTCGCTAGCGCGATGTCCGGGTGAGCGCCTGTACAGGTCGGAGTTGGAGTAAAAACCTGCGGTGAAGTTGGCGCTTCTGTGGGCTTTGCGTGGAGTGGGAGTTAGTTGTGGCGCAGGAGTCGGTGGGGTGTCGTTGATGGAGACCGGTGCTGTTGAAGGACCAGCGATTGGTGCCGGTGTTGTTTCTACTGCTGCCGGTGTTGTCTTTGTTGTTGTCGATGTTGTTTCTGCCGATGTTGTTTCTGCTGATGTTGTTTCTGCTTCTCTCGACGTTGTTTGAATTGTTGCTAATGCTATCGTCCGTTCCGCCTTAGGTATAGTGTTCGAGTACCAGAAGCCGCCGGGGCTGAAGTCGGGGTCGAAATCCGATGGGTGTGTCTAGGAAGTGAAGTTGACGATTCCGTCACTGACGGCGGTGCCTTGGTCTGGAACAAAGTCAAAGACGAATACATTATTCTTCAGGACTGCCTTGCCGATGTAGAGGCCCCCCTTCCCGTTGTACAGCTTAATTCTTGCGTGGTGCTGTCTGCTTCAAAATGAATCCCTTTCGCCATAAGTTGGCTGACACTGAGTAAGTTGTAGCCGAGTCCTTCTGCGATTAAAACCTTTGACATTTGCAGGATAACGTTGGTTTCTCGAGACTGAAGTTGAACTATCCCTTGTCGTCGTGTGCGCAGGTTCTGGTTGTTGGCGACAGTGATTACGACTTCGCGTTGAAGTTGGTGTTCTCGTTGAACGAAGCGACCCGAGGAGCACATGTGCTGTCCAAGAACCAGGTGTCTTTCCCGGACGGCTCGCTCTGGGCGATAGCTGCGTACGTCGGGTTTGGCTCTAGTGACTCGCGGCGAGGAATGCTTTCGTCGAGTTGTTCTTCCGGTGAGTAGTGCGGCGGTGACTCGGTGATGCAGGAGTCTGTTAACCTTGCCATGCTGCTCATGATATTTCTTGTACCTTGTGCAGATTGAGTCGTCGATGTCATTGAAAATTGTGTTTGATTGGCAGGATGCGCCTGTGTGGAGGCCACCTGATTGCTTGAAGGTCGAAGTTGACGTTGCGGCCGTGTTGACTGCTGCAGATTTGGACAGTGAGTGCGAGGATGTCCTGATGTTTTGAGGAGATGGCAGAACGGTGGTACATGTTGTTGTACTTAATGCTTGTTTTGTCGGTTGTTGTTGTTGTTGTTGTTGTTGTAGCGTCGTTAAGTGTGAAATGCGATCTCAAGTACTGACGTTTTTCTCTTGTGACGTTCTTCGTGCAGGTCCATGTCCTGCTGTCCAGCGTGAATTTCGGCGCATAGTGCCGCTTCAGAGATCTTCCCGTGAGCTCGGAGAATAGCTCGGGTAGAGCGCCAATGAGGGCCGAGACCAGTGATGACGACTGTGACGAAGG